CTTAAGCATTTCAGATAAGAGGACTTGGTTCCCGAGACCGTTTGCAGGAAGTCGGTGAGTAGAAGCCTAAAGGTTTTAAAGTTTTTCTTATAGTATTCATTTCTAATATTTCTTTAGTTAGCTTATTCTTTCATATCTTTAATACGTTTTGGTTATTGTGTAGGAGATGTTAACCATAATCTATTTTATTTCGCTTCCGCTCTTAGAATTTTTATATACATTTCCTTTTAATTTCTGGGGCCGTTACAATTTCCTTGTATTACATGAGTAAAATATAAAATCAAACATTGATCACACGCAATAATAAATCCATATGATAACCGTGAATATAACTAATATAATTCACTCAAGTTAGTAATTTTTTACGTTAAAACTAAGTATGAAAAAAAAGTTGTTGCAAAGTTCTTATGTGTGTCATGGGACCTCATTCATTTTCATGCATAGAATTATATGTTTTTTTGCCTATTAAACCTAAGTAAATCTTACTATTAATTAAAATTGAAAAGCTTTTTGTTTGAGATTCCAACTCATAATTGTGTGAGGTACATTATAAAAGAGAAAAAAGTGAAATGCAACCAGAAAAAAAAAAAAGATGTGAAACATGTAGGTGTCATTTAAATTTTACATATCTAAATATTGAAGTATTCATTCATTTAATAATTCATTAAAATTTAATGTCATCGATCCCTCCATATAGTTATGCTGACTACAAAGATTGATAATTGATATATGTACTTCTATGTATGATCAAATTTATAATGTTATTAAATTATTGTTAGTTTGATTTTAAATTATTTCATAAATTTTAAACAAAATTTATCTTGATTTAACTAACTATGTATGTAAATTATTCTAAACTACGAAAGAATACTAAACTTTTTATTTAAATTGAAATAAATTATAAAGTTATAGATTACTACTTGTTCTTATGTTCGTTTTCCTCCTATAAACAAGTAAATTACATTTTAAATTATTTAAAAAACACTTTAATTAAAATTCAAGTGAAAAATTGACAACATTAGTATTTTAACACTTAAACAACACCATTTAAGAGAGGGAGACTCCTTATAAGATCTCATTCAAAGTTGAATAAAAGTTCATAAGAAAATTGAAACATCCATAACAAAAACTCCCTCGATCAAGTTCGGTTTTGTTTTGTTAAGGACACCAAATATGATCTAACATCTACTTTATCCATACAACAACCAACAAGCTATTCTTATTTATGACAGTTGACTCAAATAAAATCGACATTAGTGGGGGATTGAAAAAAAGAGCATTATGAATTGTCTAATACATTAATAATATACACTTTAATGGAAATACAAGAAAGCATGTGATAAGAACTTAGGGATATATTTATATTAATATGGTTACTATTAATTGTATTTCGGTTTTAGTTTCGATTTTTATTTTTAGTCTTATTCAAATTTTTCGGTCTTAGTTACACACCCACTACATAATTTATGTTTGTTTCTGAAACCCAATAAGAGTTTGGGCCAGAGATGGACATTCTATTCTTTACTAAGCCCATTAAACCCTAAATAATTAGCGATACGACAATCTGCTTATGAGCGCGCGCGCGCGCACACACACACACATATATATATATGCAAGTACAATCAGATTTTTTCTCTTCCACCTTGTACTGCACGTACTATAAAACTACCAAGTACTACAATCTAGATATTTCAGACCCAAATCAAAATTACTTTCAATAAAATTATAGTGAATAGAAATAATAATTGATTTTTATTGATAATAAAGCAAAGATTTATAGATTTAAGATGTTATGGGAGATTAGTTTAATTTAATATTAGGTTAATCACAAAGAGAAACATGTGGGTGGGGGCTGACGAAGGTTGGGGGTGAAAGCAACAAGCTGCCATCTCCGACGAGCAGATGGCCGAGGGAGATTCTCCGGCACGACGGTCTCAAGGGAGTTAGCATGCCATGGCGGACACATTCTCTTTTCGCTCCATTTGCCACCTGCGGCAATTGAATAATAATATTCCTGGTTTATATCAGTCACCTGTATCAATCCAATTACCAAGCACGCCATCGCCACCGCACTCTTCTTCCTCCAACATTCTTCCTTTTTCCTATATGTACATACACACATATATATATATGTGATTCAGATCAAAATCAATCAATCATAAGCTATAACGTTAATTCTACGTTTTCTTGCTTCTTACCTTGAAGGTAATTGAGAAAACGTGTTGGCAGGAGGAGGGAGATGGAGTGAAGGTTTTTCTCGAGGAGGAAGGTTTAGGCAGCAACTTACTCTCATCGCCATCATCTTCACTCTCTCCCTCTCTACCTGTACAGAATAAATTGGATTCCGTTACCCTGCTACTATATTACAACGCATGTGTGTGTGTGTGTGTATATATATATACGTATATATGATTATAGTGTTGTCAATGGGAGAAATAATTAATAAAATATATAATTTTATATTAAAGTTGAATTGCTTGCCGTCTCCTACTTGTTCTCAACGTGTGGAAAAGATGGTTAATTTGTCATGACTCGAAAAATCTCAGTCGTTGGTATAACTTCTCAGCTTCCAGTTGTGGTGTTTGACACGATCACCCTATCCGTGACAGGCGGAGGCTGAGGCTGCCCGGTCGATTTTTCAATTCCTCAATTTTCCTTTTTTTTTTTTTTTTAATATAAATAAATTTATTTAAATAATAATTATATAATTAAATTTTAAAATAATAACTCGCAGATATTTAATGTAATTAATTATAAAATATAATTTTTTAAGGAAAACTCACGTAGGATATAGACTTACACTTTTATTTTTTTTAAAAAATTGAAAATATTAATCGTCCAACTACACAATAATTGGTCAAAAAAAATTATTAATACAAAATGAAAATAACGATTAGCACGTGTTGTCACGTGCTGCTACGCCATTAAATCTATCTATGTCGGCACGCGTTTGATAAAACCCACATGCTAACTTCTCTCTGACGTCAAACGTTACCGTTTCGTTTAACCAGACGACTCCTCTTCACATTGTTCCTGAGCATTCGCCGGAAACCAGGAATCCTCGTGTCAATCGCCCAAAAACCTCTCTCATGTCTTCCGGAGTAGATCAGGCTCAAATCTCCACATTTCTTCTGTAATCTATCCTCCATATCCATTTAAACCCTAAAATTCTCACATTATTCACAAAATCTTTTTTTATTCTCTCACCCGCATTGAAGCCCTAAATCCTCAGATTCAACTGTCAAAACCCTAGACACCAACAATTCCTTGCTTCCTCTGCTCTTCTTCTCTAATTACCTGATTTCACTCCTTAACCCACCCAACCACCTCCTACAATTGAAGGCCCTCGGAAATATCCACTAGAATTATTTATTGTTGCCATCTAATTCCAGCTGGCCTGACTGTTCGATTGACTCGCCCACTCGTAATCTTCTACAGTAGTTTTCTTTTTTGTGTTTCTCTGTTCTTTTCTCCTCTGGAGTATGTAATGGTGGAGAAACATGGAGCGAACTGAAGGGGTTGTCGGTTTGGAAAATGGGAGTACGAGCGACGGGAGGCCACCAAATCCTCTAGCCGCCAACTACAAGCAGTATTCAATCAGTGATCCAGTGGCGGTGCCACATAAGACGTCGTTGGTTCGACACGCGTCTTTTGTGAGTTTCTCTTTTTTGGTCATGGAATTTCTGTTCCTCACTAATGTGTTTCAGGTTTCTCTTTTTGAATGTATATTTTGGTTGTGTTCGGTATGTTTCTTCCTTCTCTTGTTCTGTTATGAATTAGTTATTTTGGAGCAGTGGTTTTGAAGTTAGTGATCAAATTTTATGATGAAGAGTTTCTGGTTTCGACTTGGGAGTGAGTTGAACGATTTTTAGTAGAGAAACCCGAAAATTGAAGCCGTAGGACCTATGTTGATAAATTCAAGTATTACCTAGTTCATTTATTGAGTACTATATGAAGCTCCCGCCGTCTTTAACGAATAGTAATTTCCAATAATGGTGACCATGAACTGCTCCATAAGCTGGATTCTCTCTCTCTTTCTCCCTCTCTCAATTACAAATAATATTGTCACTGTCCTATGCAACTAATGTATATTTGGTAATATTCTGAATAAAAACCGGGGCTAGCATATTCTCCTTCTCCAGTCTGAGATATTTTATTTTCTCCCTCAAAGAAAATCCCTTAACTTTTAGAAGTTTGAATTTAGTCGTGTGTTGTGATACAACGATTGTACTGTAATGTCTTTGCCGAGCATATTGTTTGAACTTTTTTCATGTTCATTTAAATCTCTCCTCCTGTGAATTTATTCATCATAAGCTCTCCCTCAAGCTTCTCAAATAATCATCCTGCCTTCATATTTTTTTTAAATCTCTCTTCCTCATTCCTTAAAACTTTTCTTATTTTATTAATTTTCTGATCTGAGTCTCTAAATATTTGTAAAAACGGTGTTCTCCAATTACTTGCATATTTTCAAACATTGAATGCCCGGGAGTTAATTTTAGGATTTGGGAGACAGGTTGGGCATTTGAGTGTAGGAGACAAGTAGAGAATGTCTCTCATTGTTTCTTTAATCTGATTTCTTAACCTGCTGTCCTACCCTGGTCCAAACCCAGGATTAGAAATATGCTTCTTTGACCCCATTAATGTGTTACACCTGAGTACTTGACTGTAATATTTTTGGTACTTTAGGGAGTCATGGTAATTGTACCTTCTAAAAGTTCAAGGACTTAATCATAATGTAGGTTATAGTTTGGGAATGGAAAATGAAACGATCGCCAAAGCTTTTATTTAGTTATCATTGTTTGCCAGTTTGTATATATCCTGAATATGACTTATTTCAGGGGCTTGATTGTAACATAGCAGTAGGGTATAGTTTAAGAACTAGAAAATAAATATATCTCCAAAAAAGTTTTGTTTAATGCTTATCAGAGTATGCAAGTGTTAATTGTGAGCAGTTGTAATATGTTGTTAGTTTCTTCCTCTACTGGGTTGTACTTTTTGCTAATTTTCTTATAAATTGCCCTTTATTTAATTTATTTTTGTGTTAGATTTGAAATGCCAAGGTGATTTGAATTCA